GCTGGATGGGCTCGAACTTCCGGCCTTTCAGTTAGCAAGTGACTGTATTAAGTGCACTACCAGGAGGGACTGTGTCTACAAAGATCTCCAGAGCATATGCAGAGCTAGGGGACGGACTCGCCCCTGGGTGCTCATCGCGAGGACAGTAACTGTGGGGGTGGTGCTGAGTCGGAATGCACTGGACGACAGTGGGAAGGGCATGGTTCCTTAATGACACAGGCATTTTCTCTGCTATCTAGACCAGCAGTTCTCAACCTGTGGGTTGTGACACCTTTGGGGATCGAACGGCCCTTTCACAGGGGTCACCCAATTCATAACAATAGCAAAATGACAGTGATGAAGTAGCAACGAAAATAATTTGATGTTTGGGGGGTGAGGAACTGTATGAAAGGGTCGCAGCATGAGGAAGGTTGAGAACCACTGATCTAGATAGTATTTGTACAACCTCATTCCTATTCTCAGCTAAAGCAACGGTCTCACTTTGCAGGCTCACGTGCGCCCTTGAACCTTAATCCCTTACCTCCCATCTCCATGTGATGAGAAACGATGAGGAAACATCTGAAAAGCATGCTAAGTGTAGACCTTGATACTAAATTCCTGAAAAATACTATCTAAACAGAAGAGTAGCTTGAAGGTTGATACCGAATTATAATTACATCAACGAAAAACAAGGGCAATTTGAAAGGAGGATGACCTCAGCTTGGCCCCTCTGTTCTTGTCTCTGCAGTTTCGGGTGCATGTATGGTGTGGAGTCTGAGAAGACACAAGCAGGTGCATCTCCCTGCATCTATCTGCAGAGTGCAAAGGGAGCGTGTCGCTCTAGAACTTTCTCTCTCAAAAGCAATTTAAAAGAGATCGCTCGCTCTGGAACAGACAACTCTAGAAGCCACATTATCACATCAGAAGCTAGATTCCTGTAGAGGTATTAGTCGATGTATAGACTGTGTGCCTTCTATTACCTTTCAGTCACAGAATTCTATTTAAAAATCAAAATATGAGCTACAAGGATTTCTTTCCTTTCTACCTCCTCTCTACTAGTAGAGCTTGACATGGGATATGAAAGTCACTGACCAGATAACTGGTAAGTGGAAACTATCTTAAGGATCTGCAAATCCATCAATGACATGAGTAATAAGTTTCTTTTCATCAGCTTTGGGGCGGTGCTATTGATCATTTGCATGGGGGTGTATTTCAGTCCTACATTTCACTGTAGCTTCTGGGTAAAACATGCCCATTCCAATGCCTCACTTACAAAGGGCTTTTTAAAAACGGCTCAACGTTAGGTAAATAAGGAGCACAGAAGCTTCAGCTGCCTTTTGTGAATATTTTACTGGACCGTTGCCTTTTGTATATTACTAATCTGTGGAAACCAGATTGTTAATGGTGGTTAAAAATGACCTCTGGGAGCCTGGCTATGTTTGCTCACTATTACTGCTAATGTTTTCCATCTGGTTAAAAAAAAGGCAGCTTAATACGAGATTGAATAAATGTGATTTAGCCGATGATGAGCTTCCCAGTTTTATAAATATTCCAGCAGGTTAGATGTGCCGCTTTTTGAACACGAAGGCACGGCTTTGGAGAGGTGCAAACATGACCATGACCACTTTGCTCCCTTCTCTTCGCCCTTGAAGAAAAGGCCCCAAGCCAGGGTGGAGGCGTTCACTCCACATCAACCAAACTCACTCCCATCGAGTCTGTACCAACACACAGCAGCCCTGTGGGACAGGGTCCTTGTGTTTGGCAGCCCGCCAGCAGCCCACTGCACGACCAGGTCAACTGGCGGTGGGCAGCAGAGGTCTTACTGATTAGCATTATAGGAGAGAAGAGGGTGACACAAAGACCTATGTTCCTGGAGGCTTGTCTTAAGAGGCCTTATAAGAGAAAACAGTCTGGCGCTACTGGCTCATCCAACCCTCCCCTGCTGCAAAATCAAACTAAAACAAAACCCCACGGCCATTGAATTAAGGAGCGCTGGTGGCATGGAGGTGAAGTGTGGGTCGGGCTGCTAACCACAGTACCAGCCGTTCGAAACCAGCCACTCCATGGGAGAGGACGAGGCTGTGTACTCTTGGAAAGAGTTAGTCTTGGAAACCCACAGGGCCAGTTCTACCCTGTCCTGTAGGGTCATTCTACGTCCGAGTTGACTCGATGGCATGGAGTTTGGGGTTTAGCTGTGGAGTTGTTTCTGACTCGCAGTAACCCTACCATGCCCGATAG